AGAGAGAGAGATCTATGTATGTTCACACACACACACACACACACACACACAGAGAGAGAGAGAGAGAGAGAGAGAGAGAGAGAGAGAGAGGAGACTTGCCATTGGCACTTCAGGAACGACGCTCTCTGGTTCGAGATCTGAGATTCACTGGCATTACTTCCATCATCACTGTCCAGCAGCATTTAACGCGAGAGTCGTCGCCGCTCGGCTTATCGCTTATCGCGCCTAATCGACCGAACGAGCAAGCGGAAGCTCTGGAGGGCCGCCAACAACCAACAACCAACAACCACAACCAACAACCAACAACAACAACCAACAACCAACAACCAACAACCAACTCGGACTCGAACCGAACCCGAATGCGAGCCTTACTCCGAACTGAGCTCTAGACGCATACTGTATTATGCTAAGTCCAACCGTACTATAACTGGTTAGCTTAGCGCAGCTGCGATTGGGAAGTTACAACATACATCAAGTTCATTAACGCCTACATAGATTGTTGTTGGTCAGCTTCATCGTGAATCAATCCTTCCTCAGAAATCAATATCCGCAGATTCGAGTCACATCACCCTCAGTCCACAGCCGTGGCAACGGCGTAGTCCCACCAGCTGACAGTGTATGTTAAAGGCATCTGACGTAAGGGCGTCGCCGCAGCTGACAGTCCCATCATTTTCGGCGGGATCTAGGTCTGTATGGCCGCAACTACCTCCCTAACTACAGTAAGGGCGTCGCCGCACGGGACACGAAACGAAAAACGAAACGAGTGCGTCTGCCTGCAGAAAATGGCCAGGTTCATCGGTTTACTATAAATAGTAACGCGTGTGTTGTGCCACCTTTCGTGGGCAGATGCGCTCGCTTCGTTTCCGTTTCGTGTGCCGTGCGGCGAGAGCCTAAGTACAAAAGACCTTGTGTGAAGTACGGGCTAATTTGCTGCCGGAGGCCTCATCGATCGTACAGCCACGTCATCATCGGTCACAAGCAAGCCACGTCGACATCGCCATTCTTTGTGCTTCCCGCTGCGCGCGGCCGTATCTAATAATAATTATTACCAAGGTGTCGAAAATCGTCAGCATCCTCCACATTCGTTGTACCTCACGCTCGAGGCGCCCTCCAGCTTGATGAGCGTAAGTGGTGGCGGTTGGGCATCACAGATCTCCGCGACACCTCCCTCGACTAGAAATACATAGAGGTTATCAGATGATCGGTTCCCATTTGCGATGTTCCCGGAGAAGCTGTTGCCTTTGCAGAGAGCCGCGACCCCTTCGTCTGCGCCGTAGAAACGGACCGCGCCTCCCAATCCCGACATCGAGGTCGCGGCGTTGTTCTTAAACACGTTGTTGGACACGACGCACGACGCTTTGGAGCAAGACAAAGCTCCTGCGCCTTCGTCGCCGGCGGCTTTGTTCCCATCGAAAGTGCATCCCTTAACGTCCACGACTCCAGGCCTCGGAGCGACGGCGCCGCCTCGCTTTCCCGCTTTATTTCTCAAAAACTGGCAGTCCGTTATGCTTCCCCAGGACTCTCCCACTGATTGAAATGCCCCTCCGTTAGACACAGCCCGATTGCTGATGAACTGGCAACGAGAGATTGTGAACTCCGATCCCTGTGCGCATACCGCGCCGCCGTATCCATTGTTTCACCGCTCGTATTTCTTGCCTTATTGCCCCTGAAAACACAGCTCTCAATTACCAACGTAGCCAGGGAAGTGTAGATAGCTCCCCCTCCGCTGCTCCCGCTGTTCAGCAGATTCCTGAACTCCACATTCTTGACCGTTAGATTGAACCCTGACATGCTAATGCCGCTGTATTTCCCTCTACCGTCGATGACAGGTCGTTTCGTCCCGATCCCGACGATGGTTAGCGATCTGTTAAGCTCCGGCAGACCGCTCGTGAGAATAACATCTCCAGTCACCTCAATGCGACTCACGCCGGGATCCGTGTAAGCCGTCAGAAAGTCTGTGACGCCATAGCCATGAGATCCTGGAAGAAAAGACAACGCTGCAACCATAGCCGTCACAGTCGTCAGCACAACCGCAGCCATGTTCATGGCCGCTGGTTGCGCTACACATGGACGACGACGAAGTGCCAGCCAACTGTAACGGCGTCCCACCGCCATAGCCATTGCCAACTTCAGCTTGCACCGTCTCCTCTCTCTCTCTCTCTCTCTCTCTCTCTCTCTCTCTCTCTCTCTCTCTGCGTGTGTGTGTGCCCACACTAGAACGGTCGTCCGCCGGACAGAAAGTGAGATGGAGCGCGTCCCTCCCTAGCTTGTCCACTGCTTTACCGCGAGACTTTGACTGCGATCGTCAGAGTCTATGCTCACGGTACGACGGCTCTGTGGAGATTGAACATAAGCCGCCGGCTATATGTTTGGGTGCAAGGGTGCAAGGTAGTCTGTGGTCTGTGGGTGTATGAGACTATGCAAGCCGCTCACAAGGGGAGTGGTATCAACGTCTAGGCTGAGCCATCCAGGATCGGCGTGCACACACATCAGGAGTCTCTCTGTGACCTATGGACGTAGTTGCCGCTCGGGCTGTAATTGCGGTCAGATTGCAATTTTGAGTAATGCCCTCAGTGGAAATGAGTCTTGCGGGACCTGGCATGGAGTCGCGCACATTATCGCATGAGGACATTTTCTGCTGTCCCCTAGGGCCTAGGCGTAATTACCGTCAGATAGTTCCATGATTTGCTATAACTGCAGTCAATACACCGCCGAAAGGCTCAGGGTACAGCCTGGATAACTCCCCTTCAAGGTCACAACTTTGTAGTTAACCCCCTTTTCCTTTTTTTTCACGTGTCACCCGTGCGCAGGAGCCATGCTAATCTTCTCTGTATCGGTCCACTTTCAACGCATATCACGACGGACAGGTCACGACTTCGTACCATTTCTCGATTTGTCCGTCTTCTCTCATACGTTCCAATTCTTGCGGATGTCGTGGAGGACAAGCTGACGATTTAAAAAAGTATTTGTCAACGAAAAATAAACGAAAAAAAGAACAACGCGAGCCACCGGACGATGCACGCACAGACCAAGACTGGTCGTCGCCCCACCACTCCAGTTTACACACACACACACACACACACACATGGAGAGAGAGAGAGAGAGAGAGAGAGAGAGAGAGAGAGAGAGAGAGAGAGAGAGAGAGAGAGCATCACTAGCCGTTTTCCGCCCGATTCTTCAGTACTAGGGCCGCGAGGGCCACTGCCTTTCTAACCGTAGAGAATTGCGATCTTTTATGGGTATTAAAGATGAACAGATGCACGTAACAGATGGACTGGGTTCGTGCCTACCCTTCTTCAACGTACGGTCATTATAGCTGTATTTAGATTGAAAGATACCCCAAATTTTGCTAAAATGACTGTACGCTGTATTAGGGGGAAGACTGCAGATGACTGTTCATTCAGGGGAGGGCGAGGGTGTTGTCGAGCTATACACGTGCACATGTCTGCATGCACTCCTTTTTTCCACTGGGGAAAGTGGTCGATACTCCTCGCCCGGTACTGGGCCGGGAGTATAGAAATTATTTCCTATTTTTGGCGGCCGCTGCCCACTTGGATAGTGCAGGTCAGGATATTCTGCCTACGTAGCCCAAGTTCGTGGAAACTGGACAGTGGACAGTACACACATGACACCCATGAATCTACAAATGGAGAGCACACACATCCGATGAACTGGGCACTCTCCGGAAGAATTCAGCATCCTACAGGATTTGAACATGTGACAGTCAACTTAGAAGGTTGTTGCTCTATCCTGCTGAGGTAAGAATTCAACTCACCCAGCCAACTGGGTGTAGCTCAGTTGGTAAGGTGTTGAAGCGGCACTCAGGAGGTCGTGGGTTCAATTCCCATTGCCCCCACGATAGTCCCTGTGGCATGCTTGGCGTCTTACCTTCGAGACGGTCAGTTGGTAAGTAAGTAGGTGGTAGCTCAGTGGCAGAGCTCCGGTGTTGCAACGGGGAGGATGCGGGTTCGACTTTGTCGGCCTACAATTTCCCCCGAGCACAATTGGTTGGTGTAGGTTGCACCCCACGTACTTGCCCCGAGCCTGGCATAGCGCCCTTACAGACTAATGACCTCGATAGCTCAGTGGGTAGAGCTCTGATATGGTAACTTGGAGGTCCCGAGTTCAACTCCATACTATGCTCATTCATCACGTCTATATATACAGTAACTGTTCGTCGTATCAGCTAGGGATGATCTTCTGCACAGGATTCGGGTGGGGACGTGTGCCTTTCCTACGGGAGAGTTGACGAGGGATGGATGCTACTCTCTCGGGTCGGAGAGTGGTAAGGGGTTGTTTGGGTGCATGGTGATACCGTGTCAGTTCTTTGGTGGGCAGGGGTGCCTTGTAGGGAAACCAATATCGAATTAAGAGGTGTGTCTTACTCTCGATGTCAGTAGACCCATTCTGGGGTGGTGGCCTATCAGAGGTGGTCAGGGGTAGTTGACGAGGGTCGAGGTCGGATTCTCCCTAGCGAACAGACATAAGCAAGGCTCCTTAGTAGCAGAAAAAAAGCAACCACATACATCCATACAGACTGTGATATCGCACTAGCTCACAGAAAGCAACCACATACATCCATACAGACTATGATATCACACTAGCTCACATAACAACCAGCATATTCAACAACCAACAGTAGTTATATATGAACCGCACCGTGCTGGGTTGGTACTTAGAGGTAGGGGGATCATGGGTTAGACATTGGTTAGCCGACCATGTGACACTGCCTATGAGTGCCCTCACTGCCCACGGGACTAGTTGAGAACTATGCGCCTCGCTCCCGAGGTTCCCTTATAACGAGGCTTGTACGCTAGTGCCTCAACTGGGGCTGAATGGGGGAGCTCATTCAGCATCAGTGCCCGCGTCCGC